TGCTGACACCACTGCTGCTGCCTGCAGGAGGTCGCTGTGTTCCCCCAACCTATGGTGGCACATGGTATTCATGCTTCCAACCCTAATTTTCTATGATTCTACCTATTTGAAATTTGTGGGTTTATCTTCTAAGTCATCTGTAGGTCATTGCATGGGATCTCACAACACACTTAAAAAGATCGTACAGCACCCTGGTTGAGAATCACTTCTATGGGGTTCACGTGATCAGTGATAAGTTATAAACCCCAATTACTCACAGGGTTATGTAGTCTGATCAGTATCAATGACCCCTCTTGCACTGTTCCATATTTGTTTCTTTACAAGCAATGTTAAGGTGGTTTTAGAAATATACAATAGAAAAGAACAGAAAAATATCTAGGAACTTGTGAGACCTCATAGACCTCCTGTAATTTCCTAGAAAGCAGAAACACACAACAACAGAAATCTTCCAACACTTTAAAGTGCTACCAGTGAGTAAACTGCAGAACCTGGCCCTGCAGTGTCAGACAGATGGCCTGGACAACTTATAGGGCAAGATGTTTTCAGTGTGTATGGTAAGTGTCCAGCTGGGGAGGCAGGCTAAACACTCAGTTACAGAATCAACATCATCCTTCTGTGAATGTTAACCAGAAAGGTTAGCATCAAAATATGTAGACTGAAAATCTCCCATGGGCCTCCAAAAGTCTCCAAATTCAGGAAGGTTTTAAAAGATTCCATACTGAAGAATTATTGAATATTTTCTATTTATTTTGCATGAACATAAAAAGAGGCCATAAGTACTACTTTTCATGAAGACTTCAAATAAAGTGCTAAAATCTGTACCTAATTTTTATGGTAGATAACTCTGTAAAATGATCCTTTTTCCCAGCCTTATAGACTTTTTGCTTCTTTTTAAATACATTTGATGTATGTTGTTGCCTCAGGTTTTAGATTCAACACATTGTGCCAATTACTGAAAGCCCTTGACCCATTTGGAAAACTTGCACATGGCATGATAATACCATATGAGAAGACATCTACCTGATCAGCAATTAAAAGAAGCTCTACTGAGCTGAGAGCAGGAGCACTGCTGCCACAAGGACAACTGAGCTACTCTCAAATAGCAATAATTAGAAGTAATAATGTGTACCTCCTCTTTGGAGCCACCCTTCAGTTAGTTAAAGGCTGCTATCAAATCCCCTCTTAGCCTTCTCTTCTCCAGACTAAATAAACCCAGTTTGCTCAGCCTCTCCTCCAAAGTCATGTGCCCCAGCCCCTGAACTATTTTCATCGCCCTCTGCTAGACTCCAAATAACTACAGAGATAGCTAGTTAGCTCATTTCAAATCCATAATCAAAATCCCTGAAGTTAGTTACAGACCAGGTCTAAGGAATACAGTAAACTTTGCTTTTCTGGAAGTCAAACAGCCTGTTAACAGTAGTTTGCATCCATGCTGAATAACATAAGGGTCTAAAAGAGCCATTCATCTTCTTCCCTGAAGTATGGTACTGTAAAGATATGCCAAAGGCACATACAGCACAGTGCAGCAGGGTAGGTTTTCTAAAACTTACTTGAGGGTGGAGAAGGTGATGGGCTGTGAGCCACAGGCTCCTGGGCTCTTGCAACTGGGTGTTCAGATTCTCTGAACCGTCCTTGTTTGTTGAGCGTTGCAGATGTTCCCATAGGCTTTTCCCTGCCAACTAAAACAACAACATTTCAAGTATGTCACCATTGCAAAAAATAATTTACTTTTCCAACTTAAAAGCTCCCATATGTTCAATGACAAATACTAATAATAGGTCTTACAATTGTCCAACTTACAATGTATACCGGAATCTTTTCTCTGTGCATCAAATAGCTGCAAAAAATGGGCTTTTGTTGCTACCCACAGGCCACAAAAAATTAAAAGATGGCACGCCAATAAAAATCCATTTACTGTTTTGAAAAAAATCTAAGTAACAATTTAACATTGATGTCTGAATCAAATGACTCGTTCAAATGTAGCTTTCTTGAAGATAAGCTCCTCTATCTCCCCCTCCTGATGTTTTCTTTCTTAAAAAGGAAACTGTCTGGGATGTCTTTCAAATACAACCGCCAGTAGCCATTACTGAACCATGAAATAGCAAAAAGACAAATCTTAGATGCTTTGATAGACCACATTAGCTCCTTTTACCCTTTTTTTTTTTATTAACAACCAAAGGGGGGGTTGTGGGCAGGGGGGGGAAAGGATTTCATTTGGGCCTAAAATGGACTAATACTTACTTTTATTATAGTGGTCTCTCTGTGTAGTGCTTTAGTTAAGGATTATTATTGAAACCCTGTTTTTTCCTGGAGTTAAAACAATTCTGTCTCTTCTGCACATACATACTGAATCTAATATTCACAGTCTCTTACAATATATATATTGAGTTCCAAGTGTTGCCAATACAGTGATGACTTATAATAATGCTTATGTGTATTGCTAGCTATGTATAAATAAATTATAATTAAATGATTGATAAGTGTATACTACAATATCTCCTGTCTCTGATGAATGAGGCTTTCTACATGGCTAAAATATGAGAGTTCGCAAATTATACCTAAAGCCTGATGTCCAATTCATCATTTTCATGGCATTGTCTTTTTAATCTAAAACATCCGCTGACC